TCCACACACCAGCTGAGCCCTGCAGTGCCAATCAGCTGAGATGACAAAGAAGAGAAAAGGGCAGGGGCAGGTGGGAGAGCCGATCCTGCGCTTTTCTCTTGTTTCAGTTGGAGGCTTTTTTCCCCCTCCTCTCAGCTTATTGTTGGAGGCTCCTTTTTACTGCTGGGTCAATTGAACTGGGCCATACCGGTAGCATACTACCACTGGGTGGCTGCTCTTGTTCACATGACTACTTCTCTCTTATAACATACCAAACAAGAACAAAATCTCTGAAAATTATTTTTTATTCAATATAGACATCAAAAGTTTGACTTCAGGTTCTGCTATTGGGGCATTTCCACTTTGAAAAATGTAGCTTTCTTTCATTCAAAAAAATAAATAAGCTGTTGATTGTTTGTAAATGTGGAACTAAATCATATAAGAAACAAGAAGATGATTATGGTCAGGGATCAGTACAAAAAGAGAAATAGAAAGTATCCAGCAAAATATAAATATAGAGATAAATAACTAAATAGGTAAAATTAGGATAGCATAATATTTTCAGATGTAAAACCTATGAAAGTTGTTGAGCTGCTCTTGGCGACTAAACCTAATAAAATCTACCATCTATCAAACTTCTCTACTTTATTTCATACTCTGCAGTCCTTGGTTAGGTTCATGTAAAGAATCAGTCAGAAAATAAAGAAGGGGAAGTCGTTAATTTTTTGGCATCCAATGTGGCTCAGGGCAGGGCTAGCACAAGAAGATTCTTGGTATCCCTTCTATGAAACCATTGACAACTCATAAAACATTTCCATGCTTGTTTTAGAGTTGCCATGAACAGAAGGGGGGGATTTGAAAGAGCAATGCAGCAGTTTGGAACCAAAAGTGCATTCCATTCTTGCAAAGGGACCAGAACTTCTGCCACGCAAATCTCTAATTGGAGAATGTGATTGATGACTCTTGGCTATGAATGTGTTTCTTTGGAGCATATGAATTATGATACGCCCAGAGGGGTGGAGGGAAACCAGGGTCCAGGGTGACCGTGAATTATATGTCTTAGAATCGGCTTCATACAGATCATGCTGACATGTTCGCTCCTAATAAATTTTTTGAAGCTTGGCTCAAGGCTCATGATTTAATTAGGGCAACTGCCGGAATCCTGACAATCATATCGTCCTGTTGGACCCACAAAGCAGCCCTTCTCTTTGACATCCCCTGCCTTGTGGAAGAACTGGAGATCCAGGTTGGCCCAACTACCTCATGATTAGGCTAGGCCTGTTATTGTTGTTGTCAATAAAGGAGAATGTTTAAAGGAGGGGTATTTGGTGTCCTTTGATCTTGGTTGTTTTCTTGAAAATATTTCAGTATGCAAACTAGGTTCCATAATCAGTGCAAGTAACATCAAATAACACCAATGAAGTTACTTAGTTTGGGTAATGAAATGTCGGCAAGAAAACAACACGATCAGATCACACCAAAGACTCCTGTTGTTGATGTGTGCTTAATGATTGTTTCATCATATTTATATGGCCACCAATCCCACAGAAAGTGATTCTGGGCATTTTTACTGCAATCCAATAAAGTAATAAATAAATTTGAAGCCATTTTGGAAGGCAATTCAGGCTGAGCTTGAGCTACATGTTGTCACGATGGTTCTGATCAATGGAGCATGTGAGAAGAGAACAATGAGAGGTTTGTGAAGACAATTCCTTCAAAGGATTTTTGCCTTTTTTCAGTCAGTTTCCTGAGACTGGAATTTCCTGCTCAGCAATGCAAGATGCAGAGGCTTATTTTACCATGTTCAAAAGAGTTGCCACTTTTTGTCAATGGCCTGAGAATGAATAGGTTGCCATATTTAATGGGAAAGGCCTTGGGAGCTTATAGTAGATCTTCATCAAGAGAATGAGTGGATTACTCTCATGACCAAAAGATAGTGCTACATAGATATGATATCACTCTCTGTAGGCAAAGGTTTAGGAGCTACACCTATGACAAACACAAAGGGATTTGTGAATGTAGGCAAGGTTGGAAGATCTAGGCAGGAAACGGTTGAGACCAGAGGAAAGAAGCAGAGAAAAAATGGTAGAGAAAGTCCAGTGAAGAGAAGGACCAGGGGAGACATGATAGCAGTCTTCCAATATTTGAGAGGCTGTCACAGAGAGGAAGGGGTCAATCTATTTTCTAAAGCACCTGTAGGCCAAACAAGAGACAAAGAATGGAAACTGGACAAGAAGAGATTTAACATGGAAATTACAGTAGGAGAAAATTTCTGACAGTGAGAACAATCAACCATTGGAACAGCTTGCCCTCGGAAGTTGTGGGACCATCATCACTTGAGACTTGCAAGAAGAGATTGGTGTCAGCCTCAACTGGGTACTGGAGAGTCTCGCAGACAAAGCACTTTACTCACAGGCTTGCAGGTGAATTTCAAAGGTTCACTGCAGCAATTCCAATCCTAATTGGCAATAACGGGGATCCCAAATAAAGCTAGCGCCGAGAGCAAGTGCCTCTCACTGCTCCTTACAGCAGTTTCCCAACCCCTCTCAACAAGCCTAACATCTGCCCATTCAGCTAATTATCCCCTGCACCTGATCCCTCTGCCTAATCATCCACACCTAATCCTCCTACCCTCAGTCCAGCCTCCCACACCGCCCCCATGGCAGTTCAGTAGTCTCCCCCTCCCCCTCAGCTAGCACGGCAGTCCTGTCTGTCCAAATCCCCGCTCCAATAGGTGAATGAAACCTCATAGTTGCAAAGCCTCTGTTAAACAGTGAAGCCCTGTAGTTCTGGAATCGCCGCCCAGCTGCTGATTGAAGCTCTGCTCAACAGCTGACTGAAACGTGACATGCCGGTGGAGACGTTGGGTGCAAGCAAAGCGGTAGGCATCTCCTCCACTATCGTTTCATCAATGTGGCAGGCTCCAGGCCCGGCACCAACTCCCTTTTTAATTCTCTATATTGTTTTACTGCCAGAAAGTCACTTTTCTCAGCTCCATCTGCATCTACAGCTACTGCCACAGCAGCTACATTCTGTATCTTATATGGAGGGGGTCTTGGACAGCTGGCATATTCCAGTGGGTCCCACTTTCCCTCCTCTGCTTCCTATAAAATTCTCTTACTTGTAGAAGAAAAAGGGTCCACCCACTGAACGTGTAGCCAGGGCTCCACATACGGCAATTGCATTTTTAACTTCTTTTTAACAAGAACTTTTCTCAAAGCTCTTATGCAATAACAACCAGATTCTCCAAATTTATCCCACCTATAGTTCAGCGGAATTAAGATAAGCATTGGCGACACCCCTGTGCAAAGCTCAATTATTGTTAATTTATTCAGATGTTTTGTATAAAGACTTAACCACGGCTCACTCCATTTTTTAAGCAATTCACCCAGAGGGGAGGAGGGTGGAATGGATGGGATCTCTGCACCTGGCTTAGTAAAATATGACTCCATTTAGAAATAGTAACACTCATCCTTCTAACACAGGAAAGGGAAAAGAGGAAATGATAATGCAGAACAATAGCAATACAGCACTATCACAAACACACACACACACACACACACACACACAGGGCTAACATAAACTTATCAGGCTTAAGAAAAAACCCTTTCTACCCAGTATTCAAACAACCCTTAAAACAAATTTTAAACAGTGTTGCAACACAGTGGAAAAAACATTATAAGAGCTAGCTCACCTGTATCCTGGTGCACCAGTATCTGGGTTCACTCAGCCTTTACAGGTCATCTGTCCACAGGTCACTAAGAGCAATTTGCCCTTTCACTAAGGGCAAGAGATACACCAAACTGCTAAATCCACTGAAAGCAGCAGGGGCACCTGCAGCTTTCAAAATCCGTCGACATTCAGAGGAAGAAGTCTTGCTCCTGGCCTGACTTCGCCAACTGTTATAAACACCAAAAATTGACAGAATGACCAAAAAACCATAAAAAACTTATTTATTCAGAGATTTGCAAAAATCGGAAGAAAGGACCTCATTTCCTGAACATTCAGAATATGAAGACAACAGGCATAGATTGAATATTACATTTATAGGGTTCTGCAATAGGCTACATTCACATCATCCTTCCTGTTTTTCTCTCTTGGTAAGTCCTTAGATTTCTCTGGGTACTTGTCCACTAACTCCTCCCAGAACCTCATCTCTTGGAAACCGCCATTCTCGTGGCTTCTTCTTTTCCTGTTTTGAACATCAGCAAGTTTTTAATACAATAGCTCATTAACCAATTCCTTTTAGGTCAGGATGACCCAAAATCATTTCACATATTACCATTGCCAAAGATTTGACATTTCCATTTTCTAGCCAAAAAATTGACATTTCTACAGAACATAATAAACTTATGTTTATAGTTATATAACAGTCCAGTAATATTCCAGTAATTATTGCATAGGTCAGAAATCAGATAAATATGGTGTTACTTATGTCGCTAATTTTCACAGGTGTAATCCTTAGTATGTAATTCTTACATACCACAGAGTGCATCTCTTTGTTGTATGGAGGCCAACTCTCAATATTATTTCAGGGAGTCCCACTAGGACATGCTGAAAAGCACTGCAGAAAGAATTCAATAATTGCTTTGGTCCTAGACTTGATTCTGAATTCTGAAAGAACTATGGATTAGATTGAGACCCTCCAAACTAACTCTGAAGTTACCCATCAAGCTTAAAGCAGTCTGCAGCCCATCTAACTAACTATTTTTATTTCTTTCAGTTTTAAATAACCTAAGTTGTCAAACAGAGGCAAACAAAGCATATAAACCAATAACAATTTGCAATCAATAATTAAATGTTATGGTCCTAAGAAACAATTTCATTGTCACTTCCCTATTTTTATCATGAGATGTTCCTTAGTGTTTAGATCAGGTCTAAGGATGATAATGTAGCACTTGAGGAGGAAGTTGCAGTCCAGCACCAGAGGCCAAGATGGAAAAGACCTGCACGGCCACCATGTATTTCCCTTTGGTGCTCAGGTAGGTGGGAAGGAAGGAAAGCCAGACACTGCAGAAGACCAGCATGCTGAAAGTGATCAGTTTGGCTTCATTGAAGGCCCCAGGCAGGTTCCTGGCCAAGAAAGCAACTATGAAGCAAATGATAGCAAGGAAACCCATGTAGGCGAGGACAATATAAAACATGGTAACAGAGCCTTCGTTGCATTGAAGGATGATTTTTCCAGGCTGAGAGTGCATGTCAGAATCAGGGAATGGGGGGGAAACTCCCAGCCACAGGACACAAATGAAAATTTGGACACCAGAACAAGAAAGGATGGTAGTGTTGGCCAAGGTCTTTCCTAACCATCTTCTCATCTTGTTTCCTGGTTTTGAGGCCAGGAAAGCCAGCACCACCATGATTGTTTTGGCCAACACAGAAGACACAGCTACTGAGAAGACAATGCTGAACATTGTTTGCCGGAGAAAACAAGTGGCTTTCCTTGGCTGGCCAATGAAAAGAAAGGAGGACAGAAAACAAAGCAAGAGGGAGATCAGGAGGATGTAAGAGAGGTCTCGGTTGTTGGCTTTGACAATGGGAGTTTCTAGATGTTTAATGAATATGATTAAAACAAAGCCTGTGGTTAGGAACAAGAGTAGGGCAAAGCAGACGAGGATGATGCCCAGAGGTTCTTCATAGAACAGGAAGGTTATTCTTTTGGGGATACATTGGACATGGTTCTTGGTTGGACATTGTTCTTCTGGCACTTTGTGCATTTTTCAGTATCTGAGAAAAATAATATTTTTTGTTATAGTCTTTCAAATTTCAAGAAAACTTTGAATGAGATGTGATATTGAGAGACAGGAAAGCATCATTAATGGTACATTCTTACACTCCAGCAAAAAGATCCCCAAATATGTACAAACAAGAACAACTAAATAAAATTAAACAATAAACAATAAAAAACAAGAACAAGAAAATAAAATTAAATGAAGAAATATCTGGTGCCACAAACTTCCGGTGGCAGGACAGGGACGTCCAGAGGTGGAGAAGCCCAGCTGTGGCTTTCGATCACCTCTTCTCGCGTTTGGAGGGATCCCCAGTGGATACACGAAACCCGTAGAGCTTCGTGTCAGAAAAGAGGACCCCCGAGTTGCTGTTTGGGGGAAGGCAACTCCCCAGCAACGAAGGAAGAGCCTCTAAGACCAGCGCGATTGAGCCAGCCGCCAGCTAATGGCGGCTCCAAAGTCCCGTCTGTCACTGAACTGACGAAGCGAAAAGTGACAGCCTGAAAGATCCGAGCTGAAAAGGGCAGAAGGACTATAAAAGCCGTGAGTGAGATTGGTCTGACTCTCCCTCTTTCATTGTGAGTAACAGTGGGGGAAAGCTGGAGACAAGCGGCTAGAAAAGCGATTTGAAAAGTGAAAGGGGAATTAACGCAGACAGAATGGCTCAACACTTAAAATGAAAGTGTGGATTGGAGCGTTTGGAAGAAGATTGTCGAGGAGAGAGGGAGGCGGTGGGATCTTTAAGAAGCTCGGGAGTGGATTGCCATCTGGGATCAGCGTCTGAGAAGACTAGAAGACTAGGGGAGAATTATAGCTGCGAAGGAGGGCAGAGCGAGCTGCAGAGGGCGAGATAGTGATGCACTGACTTTTATATATAAGGCCCTCTTCTTTATAGCTACACTGCCTACAAAACTAACTTCTAAAAGGGATCGATTTGAGGCGGACACTCAAAGTGATTGTGGACTGACAATTGCTGACAGAAAGGAAGAAGAGGGAAGAAGAAGAAGGAAGAGACAGACGGAATCCTGGTAAAGACTGAACGCTGAGCGCTGACAGCAATTAGTCAGCACTTCCTCCCTCTGCTCCTTCGGTGCGCCCAGGAAGAAAGACTATAAGACTATAACACCAGCCCCAACTCAGACTTGTTTTTCTATGGAACTAATCCCACAGATACGTGTCTAGTGATTCCCTGAAATCTAAAAGACCTTTTCTTCCCGCACCCTTTCTCTCTCCCTTTCTCTCTTAGTCTTTCCTTTCTCTCTAAAACAATTATAAATATAGATGTAAAGGCAAACTGCTTATTATTGTTATTAGGGTTTACTGATTAGAGTCTTTTGAATATACAAAAATTTGAAGGTCTGTTAAATTGGGTTGACTTAGATTAACTGGAACCTTGAATATTAATTACATTATAGGACAAAGGTATATACAGAGTGAGAAATTTTAGAGTTGTTTGTTAGCTGTAAATAAGTTTGATTTGATATGATATTGATTTATTAGGGGTTAAATATAATTAATGAATTTTGGTATATGATCTTAGTATAGAGAACAATATATAATACTTAATACATAATATTTGATAATATTCTATTTATAGTATGTGATAATACTTTATTGAATTGGAATTTGTCTAAGCGACAAATTGGGTCGAAGAAAGAGATCTAAAATAACTTGGTGTGTAAGCTTAGTAAATAGACTTGCAATCACATTTAAAGAGCTATTACATCGAATGGTGATTTGGGAAAGTATTCTTAACATTACCCAATTGCAAAAACAAATCTTATCAGAGATGACTTCCACAACAACCATGGCCCTGAAAACGGGAAGGAAGAACACCCAGACCTTGACGACAACTCTGGCAACTGCCTCCCCAACAACGCAGAAAACTATAGAAGAGACCTTGACAGGAGAGAAACAACCGACCGTCACTAATGCCATTCTGCAAGCGACACTATTATCCCTGCAAGAATCAATGTCTAGAATGCAGGAGATTATGATTAGGAATCACAATGAGACCAGAGCCGATATTAGCGAACTGAAGGAAGAAATGGGGAAATTAAAAGAGGAGATGAGAGCAGATATACAGAAAGTCGAAGATAAGGTTGGGACAATGCAATTGGCTATGGAAAGAACTGAAATAAAAATAAAAGAAATAGAGAGAAGGACAGAGCGAGCGGAGAGGAACCTAGAAAGGACTGAAGAAAGCTTTAAAAATGTTAATAGAGAAATGGAAGATTCCTTGGTCCAACTTGAGATGGACAGAGCAGCGGCATACCTAAGGTTCCAAAACGTGGAGGAATCCAAAAATGAAGAACTAGTGCAATTAATGGCAGGTTTGTTGGCTGATCTAGTTGGAAAAGAGAAAGATGACTTACTTAAAGAATTCGACGAAGTCTATAGGATGAATACCAGTTACGCAAGGCGTCACAAGTGCCCAAGGGAGATCCATATCCGCTTTTCAAGAAGATGCTTGAGAGATCTAATACTTAGAATGGCCAGAGATGAGAGAGTATTATATAAGGGCAAAGAGATCATAGTTCTCAAGCAGATTCCAAGAAAAGTGAGGGCCTTAAGGCAAAAATATAAATTTTTAGCTAACCACTTAAATAAAAAAGAAATTTCATTCAAATGGCAAATTCCAGAAGGGATGCTAATATGGTGGAAGGGAAGAAAAATTAAAATAGATTCAATAGAACAAGCACAAGACTTTCTAGAACAGCTAACAACCACGGAGGATCAACACACTAAGGAGGAAACCCAAAGGAACATGCAGGAAGATCGGAACCGCCATAGGAACAAGGAAGAAAGACCCGTCCAAACTCAAGGAAAAGACAACTTACAACAAGAAAGAGTAGAAACATCCCCATACCTCCTACAAGAAGAGAGCCGTATAATTACGAGACAAAAAGCGAGGCAGACTTAAGTAAATGGAGGAAGGAAGTAAAATCCTTTCCATCAACATAAACGGCCTAAATTCAAGAGCTAAAAGGAAGAGGATTCTAACTAAACTAATAAAACAAAATGTTGATATAATTTGCATACAAGAAACACACATTAGGAAAAGTGAGGAGAAATTTCTAGACTGTCCGAAACTGGGAAAATTATTCACAGCACCAGCTGATGAGCACAAAAAGAAAGGTATTGCAATATATGTGAGAGATGATTTAAAAGCGGAGTTAATCTGGGCGGATCCTGAAGGAAGGACCCTGGTGGTACAAACTTCGATTAATGGCATTACATTTTTACTGGTAGTAATCTATGCCCCAAATGATGATCAAGGTAAATTTTTCAAACATCTTCATCAAAAAATAATAGATTTCGGAAAAGGCAATATTTTTCTGATTGGCGATTTTAACTCTATTGCTGACTACTGGAAGGATCATAGTAACATGAGTAAGAATAAAAAAGGAAAAAGAGAATTTTCGAAGCCATGTAAGGAGATGATGTACGAACTGAATCTGGTAGATATTTGGAGGAAACTAAACCCAAAAAAAGAACAGTTTACCTATTACTCTAACCCACACAAAATTTGGACAAGAATAGATATGGCTTGGATAAATGGTGAATTAATTAATGAAATCAAAGATAGCGAAATCTTACCAAATGACTGGGCTGACCATAACCCAATTCAAATAACCTGGAGAGGTAGAAGAAAACCAAAAAGAAGATGGACTCTTAACACTCACTTAATAAAAGAAGAAGAATACACTAATAAATTGAAAGAAGAACTGAACTTCTTCTTAAAAGAAAATAATAATGAACTAACTTCGAAACAAAATATATGGGACACAATGAAGGCATTTATAAGAGGAACAACTATCTCTTACAATGCTATGAGAAATAAAAGAAAGTATGCCCAACAAAGTAACTTACAACAAGAAATTAAGGATTTAGAAACCCAA